AATTTCATAACACTAACCCAAGAAATTACAATGGAATCCATGTATGAAAAAATGATCAAGTCATGAAATCCATGTGTGAAGTGACGATTCAGATTCCGTAAATTTATCTCCTCTTTTGAATGTATAAAGATACACAAACTTAGAAAATTCAACTGAGATTAGGGGCCACATTTAACTAAGGACTATCGAGCAGTGTAATCTATTACATCTGGTATTATATGCACATCCTAACCAATTTAACTAAACTATTGTAATGCAATTTCTATCCAGAGGACTAAGCTCCAGTATTACTGATACAGAACCTAAAACTTTTTACAATCTAGAAACCAGACAATAGTGATCAAACAAACATGGAAGAGTAACCAAGGACCTGTAATTCTTTTATGGGGCCATGGATCATAATCTGGCTATTTCACCCAGGACAGATTTACCATCATTCCAACTTCCAACAACTCCAGGGAAGTGCTACTCATCTTTTTGCTGAAAAAGATGAAAAAGCAGCAGCAGCAGCTAGCCCAATACAATTATTTATGTCAACATGGTATCCAAATCCGTGCATGCGAAAATAGCAGAGACAACAAGTTTCCAACAGGAACTTACAAGGCATATGGCTGAGATCAAGGCCTAATTCCAATACAGCCTATCTCCTCCACCAGTCCACCCCCATGTCCACCCCAATTCTGAGGCTTCTCCAACAAATCCTAAAACTCGAGATAAAATTTAGAATCACTCACTGATATCTCAGCAACAACATTTTCCACAATTGAACTATCCAACATCAGGTTCTCTGACATGTCATGATAAGTGGAAGGCATGTCTGAGATAGTAGCTCCAAACATCATGTTGCCTTCATGAGTCTGAGTATGAGTCCCTGATTGATCAGCCATGAACAGCTTTCTTTGGTTGCTGCTGTCTGTGTGCTCTGATAATAACCCAGTTAGCTCCAATTGTGTTTTAGAATTTTGGTTTCTACAATTGATACTTGTGCCCGCATCCATGGCCTCAGGCAAGCTCTTGGTATCCTGGGTTTCAAGCAATCTGCACTTCTTCCTATATTCAGCCCCATCAAGCTCTCTCTGCTGCCATCTCTTTTGGCTCAACTGCTGAACAAACTTGGGGTCCTTGGCAACCTTAACAAAGAAATTGAACATATGTTGCTGCCTACATTCTGCACAGTGCATGTGCTCTTGAACAGAGTTAAGTTGATGTTTTGATTCCTCTTCTCGTTGCCTTAATTTCAGGATTTCAACTCTTAGTGTGTTTTGTTCTTTCTTAAGAGACTCTAAGTCAACGTCTAATCCAAGGGTTGCAGGACTGGGAATGTTCACTCCACCTTGTTGCTGCTTATTATATCTACTTCTTTCTATATTTTTAAGCAAATGCTTCTTTCCTCCCTGGAACCCTTTATTTG